AGGCCACCCCCGGGGGGTCTGAGGGTGGGAGAGCGCCCCTTCCGGAGAAGCCAGGGTGGCGTAGGCAAAATCCCAATTTCCGCGTGCCGGTGTAGCGGGTCGACGGTCCCTGTTCCCTGGCTCCCGAAAGCCCCCTGTGGGAGAGCCTCCGGCGCGCAGGGCATGTGGGGTGTGGGAAGCCCCCTTCCCCACGCCCCGGTGTAGGTGAAGGTGATAGAGGAGGGAGGAGGGTGACACCCGCTGGGGTGTCAATTACCACAGTGGCTTCATAGAGTTCAAATGAAAGGAAGAATTGCACGTCTCTCAGTTTAAGTCCAGAACTAGAAATGATTAAGCTTAGTGACGATGTAGAATTTTCATGGCTAGAGTGAAATCAATGCTTGGCTTCAAAACTTGGAAGGATGGGCCGGGCGCGGTGGCTCACGCCTGTAATCCCAGCACTTTGGGAGGCCGGGGCGAGAGGATCACGAGGTCAGGAGATCGAGACCATCCTGGCTAACACGGTAAAACCCCGTCTCTACTAAAAATAAAATTTAAAAAAATAGCCAGGCGTGGTGGCGGGCGCCTGTAGTCCCAGCTACTCAGGAGGCTGAGGCAGGAGAGTGGCATGAACCCGGGAGGCGGAGCTTGCAGTGAGCTGAGATTGCACCACTGCACTCCAGCCTGGGCGACAAGAGTGAAACTAACAAAAATAAAAATAAAAAAAGAAGGAAAGAAGAGAAAAAAGGAAAAAGATTGCTGCTTATTGACAATTCACCTAGCTACCTAGAAGCTTAGATGTTGATGTACTTGGAAATTAATTTTATTTTCATGGCTGCTAATACAATATCTATACTTTAGCCTGTAATCCAGGAGTGGTTTTGACTTTCAAGTCTTATTATTAAATAATAAATGCATTTTGTAAAGGTATAGTGTCATAGTGATTTCTTTGATGAATCTGGATAAACTGATTTGAAGAACCTTTTGGAAAGGATTCACCATTAATCCTTTAATGATATTTCAACCTCCTCCCGTGAATCACAAATGTCCTTAATAGTAATCCTTAAATGCCATTAAGGACATTTGTGATTGTTGGGAGGAGGTTGAAACATCAACATTAACAGGAGTTTGGAAGAAGTTGATTCCAGCCCTCATGGATGACTTTGAGGGCTCAGGATGTCAGTGGAGGAAGTTCCTGCAGATGCGGTAAAAATCGCAAGTCAACTAGAATTACAGCCTTATGATGACATGAAATTGCTGTAAACTCATGATGATACTTGAACAAATGGGGAGTTGCTTCTTATGGATAAGGAAAGAAAGTATTTTCTAGAGATATAATCTGCTCCAGGTGGAGATGCTATGAACATTGCTGAAATGACAGTGAAGGATTTAGGATATTCCATAAACCTGGTTGATAAAGCAGCTGCAGGGTCTGAGAGGGCTGACTCCAGTTTTGAAGGAAGTTCTACTGTGGATGAAATGCGATCAAACAGCATCACATGCTACAGGCAAACCTTTGTGAAAGGAACAGGGTATCAATGCAACAAACCTCATTGTCTTATTTTAAGAAATTGCCACAGGCACCCAACCTTCAGCAGCCCCTACCCTGAGCGGTCAGCAGCCATCAATACAGAGGCAATATCCCCGCCAAGAAAAAGATTATGTTCAAGGCTCAGACATTTGTTAGTATTTTTTTTTAGCAATAAAGTGTTTTTAATTAAGGTATGCACATACAGTTTTTAGACATAAGGCTATTAACATACTCATTAGACTACAGTATAATTTAAACATGACCTTTATATGCACTGGAAAACCAAAAAAATTGTATGACTAACTTCATTGCAACATTTGTCTTCTTGCCGTGGTCTGGAACCAAGTCCACAATACTTCTGAGGTGTGCTTGTAGGTTTTTTGTTGTTTTACGTTTTGAGATGAGGTCTCACTCTGTCACCAAGGCTAGAGTGCAGTGGCATGATCATAGCTCACTGCAGCCTCGAATTCCTGGGGCCAAGTGATCCTCCCATCACAGCCTCCTGAGTAGCTGGGACTACAGGCATGCAATACTGCACCTGGCTAGTTTTTATTTGTAGAGATGGGGTTTCACTGTTGCCCAGGCTGGTCTTAAACTCCAGGGCTCAAGCAATCCTCCCACCTTGGCCTCCCAATGTGCTGAGATTACAGGCATGAGCCACCACACCCAGGTTATCTGTAGTTTTTAAAACAAAAATATACTTTAAAAGTTAAAATATATTTTTACAAATGTATATATCTACCATAATAGTATCACACAGAATGGTTTTACTGCTGTAAAGATTCTTGGTGCTCTGTGTATCCATCTCTTCCTTCCCCTTGGTTCATGGCAACCGCTGATCTTTCTACTGTTCCCATAGTTTCACCGTTTCCAGAATGTCATATAATTGGAATCGAACAGTATGTAGCCTTTTCGGATTGGCTTCTTCTCCTAGCAATACGAATTTAAGTTTCCTCATTGTATTTTTTGGTGGCTTGATAAATCATCTCCTGTTAGCAGTGAGTAATATCCCATTGCCGTTATACTTTTGTCAAGATTCAGAACGTACAACGTGAAGAGTAAACGTGAATGTGCTCTGTAAGCTTTGAGCGATAATGAAGGGTCCAGGTAGGTCCTGGTTGTCACAGGTGCGCTGTGTGAGGCAGGAAGCTGTCGTGGGGAGGCTGTGTGTGGGGAAGGGGACACAGGGGAAGTCTGTACTCTCTGCTCTGTTTAGCTGTGAACCTGCACTTCTCTAAAAAATAAAGTTTATTTATTAAAACTAAAAAACATTAAAAAATTAAAAATTACAATATGTCATATACTTTCCAAATCACAAGACAGAGACAAAGACATAATAAAACAAAATGTAGAAAACAACAAACATAGGAATAAAACATCAGTGACAGAAGGCAGAAGACAGAAAAGCGGAGCCAAACACATTATGTAATTATTAGCTATATTCATTTATGCTAACTTATATTGATTTAACATATTAATTTTCACTAAATGGCATTAAAGGAGGTTTGAGGAATTTGCTCGTCACCTTCTGGATGACAGGACTCAATAATATTAACTCACTAATTTGCTGTAAATTATTTTAAAATATGCTCACATTTCAATACAAATTCCATGAAGAATATTTTGGAACAAGAAAATGTGATTTCAAATTCATCTGACGAACACACACACACTGAGAGCAAATATTACAAAATAAATCTGTAAGATATTTAAGGTCATTATAACTTTTCAAAATTAAACATTGATATGGCACAAAAATAGACATATAAAAGAAAGGGAATTAAAAACACAGAAATTTTGTGTAATTTTGTGTAGTAATGGGGTAACACTTAGAACCTACAAATCAAGAATAATTATCCCACTGGTGGTATTATTGGAGTAATAAATGAAACTGCCTAAAATGTAAAGTTCTTACACATTTGAACACTATGTAAAAAACACCAGACAAACAACTGGGGACATTTTTACAATTATGTTACATAAAAGTTAAAATCCTTATGACATATACAATGTATAAAACAGTATGATTACTGCTATTACTAATACCATTACGATTACCTAGTCTTCCCACACACCAGTCCTCTTCTGGTGCCTTGTGGTGAAACAGAGCCCTCGCTCTCTGGCCACAGGGAGGGATCCAGCAGGAACCTGAGCCAAGAAAGGCTCCAAACCCTGGACCCTGCCTAAACCCACAGAGGGTGTGAGCCAAGCCGGGACCTCACAATCCCTCCTGCAATGCAGATACCCACTCACGGCAGAGGTTGGGTCCCTCTCTGGAAAAACTGTGTAACAATTATTGCAGAAATGTGTTTCTTATGTTCCCAGATACATGGAGAAAGCTGGTCTGGAAGACTGATGTCCACATGCTAAGAGAAGCAGCCACTCATGACACACACACTGCACACACCACACCATGTGCACACGCACACACACCCCACACACACCACACCGTGTGCACACACACACAAACCCCAGACACCAAACAGCACACACACCATGTGCACACGCACACACACACACTGCACACACACCATGTGCACATGCACACACCCTCCACACACTGCACACACACCACACACACCCCACACCCACTGCACACACACCATGTGCACACACACACCCCACACAGACACCACACACACTGTACACACACAAGGGGGGAAATGGCATCATGAGATATGCTATGGTCATACCTATGTGGGAGCACAGCTAGCTATGGTCTCCCCCATCCAACCCACTGGGCAGTGTTCAGTTACCAATATTGAGGTAGAGCTCACTCTCCCAGGTCAGAAACCACTGTGTAGGAAACCCCTTTCAGATAGAGACAAGGGATTATTTGACCTTTTATCTGTAGTGCCTAGTACAATGTCCAGAACACAACAGATATTTCATATTCACAGTCACATCCTATGTATCTGTATTTTTTTTCCAGCAGGGACTGGAGGTCCTAAGCTTCGTTAATATGGTGAGCCAGTGCCCACATGAACAGTATCATCTTAGCACTGTCACCTGGACACCCATTTAAATGCTCTTATTTTAGCTAGTCAAAGTGTGGTCTATGAGTTTGCACTTTAATAAGATCCCCTGGTTAATCTTGTGCATGTTACAGGGAAGCACTGGGGTCCTACATCACATGTGACAGGCTCTCACAGTCACCATCATCACGGGAAGCTGCATTTAGAGCATTTAACTATATGGGCTCTGAAATCAGATGACAGGTTTAGACTTGCCTCTACTTCTTACTAAGTAGAGAATTCTGGGGTGAAAACTTTACGAGGCCCAGTTTTATCACGTACAAATTAGAGGCACGGGGAAATTATAGCATTTTGCATAGAATATCGTTTTAAGTATAAAATGAAATAGTATGCAGGAAGCTTCTGCCATATGCTAAGTGCACAATAATTATTTGTTAATAGTAACTCATTTCATCCTAAGAGGTCTATAAATTTGTACATAATTTTTTGTGACTAACCAAATTTTCATAATTAATCTAGATTTAAAATCAAGGAATGTTCTTACTTGTAGTTGGCAATCAGTATGACATACCAAAATCATATGTATTTTATTGTTGGTGGGGATATAAGA